AAGACTCGATCAAACCTCTACAAACTCATCTCTCTGTATAAATGACACGTGTTAAGAAGTTTTTGCTGTATAAATATTCCGCTCTTCATTTAAAATTGTTCGATGTAATGCTACATGTCATCTGGAGTAAACAGATCTATGAAATCCCCATCGTTCTCTCCACTCGTTGCAGCTCAGCACACCAGCTCAAACACTGTAGAACTACTCCATGCTACACAATGGTAAGTTGTAATAGAGTAATTCAATTCACCAGAGTCAATATGTTACTGTTGTTGTTATTGTTGTTGATAACTGCTGCTCCACTCTGCTGCAGCTGGAAAGGATTAACTTGGTCAACTTTTCTGTTTTCCTCATTGTCAATAAATTCAAACAAACAAATTCATGCTACCACCGAAATAGTGCCTAACATAAGAATAAATCTAATTCCTCTGCGCCACAGATCTCCAACAAACTATTAGCAACACATCAGTGTCCCGTCATTATCATCAACCGACACACTGCAATCTAATTTTACTTCTGCATTCATTAAACCCACAGCTGAACAAAATAGACCTTTTATTCCTCCCTGGTTTAGAAAACTGCTTTTTAGGGGATTATCTTTTAAATAAATTGAAAATATGTTTTTATATAAGTCTCCTTATTTTGCAGCAAAAATGGCTAAAATGACACACTGATAAAAAGAAAGAAAGAAAGAAAGAAAGAAAGAAAGAAAGAAAGAAAGAAAGAAAGAAAGAAAACCTGCTATAGTGTCTCCTGAAAGTTTTAGAAATGTGAAATCTGATACAGGAATGGAGTCGTGGGTCTTTGAGGTCAGTCAAACTGGAAGATTTTTGTCTGTATAAAACTTAAAAGAACATTTTACAGTATAAATAATTCACTTAACCTACCTAATTGTAATCCTACAACTTGTGCCATCCAAGACCAGACTTACAGCGGTCATGACGGCTTTGGATCGTGTGTGTTGAGGCTGCTTTTGTGCTTAAAAAGAAAAGACGAGGATTTCCTAAATCCTCAGACACCTAATATGTCCATGCTTACTGACACAGTGTACTGGCAAACTAAAAGAAGAAAGGACTGTGGATGCAGACCTCCTCTGGGAGTTTATTAAATACCTCCCTGCTGATGTCTGCATGCAGAACCAGAATTGTGTCCGTGCAGCCTCCACGCTACAGAGGCAGCAGTGTTCATGCTGAGAATACATAGATGCCAATCTAGTGCACATGCATGGAACGTGTCCTCCGAGCAGACCAGACAGTATAACCACAAATACGTGTCCGTCCACATGAAAGTATGATCACGGATTAACACATGCTGTTCTCAGTCATTCATGGGATTTTGTCAACAATTAGAAAAATACCAGCTCAGTCCCCTAAAATTACATTCCTATACAAGTAAAGTGCATTCTAAACTATGCTTACAGCGCAGTATGTTTTCTGCCAAGTTATGTTTGTGTCATATCACAGGTAGGTGTTAAATCAACAAATCTTTGACATCTATTTTATGGCTTTACTGTCAGTCCTCTGGAGCCAAACAACCATATTATATTAAAGTGGGACCAGTCACCCTGGTAACTCATAAAATGGACAAGAGACGTTACAAAAGGGTCATATTGTAACCTGAACCGTGGTAATTTCATGAACCTTCACAAGAAATGTTGGTGTGTAAACTGAACCAAACTCCCAGAGAAAACCAAAATTAAACAAGTGGAAACAAAAGTTCAGTCTAAGAATAATGGTCCCACATGGGCTGTAAACTTCAGACTCCTGGGAGAGTCTCCATCCTACCTCCTCATGTGGACTCAGTGGCTCTTTCAGACTAGAAAACCTCTGTACTATGGATTCAAAACATAACTGAAAATGCAATTTAGTTGCATAGGAAATGTTTCTGAGAGACGGAGCTGAAAAATAAAGAACATGGCAGCCAAGTTAATCTTTTAATGCTGAAGCAAACTTCCTCTGACCTCATGTGAAGAAGGCCCTTTATTGTTTCAGCGTCTGAAGGACTATACTTCACACATTGTATAATATATTTATACACAACAATTAGCAGGTCCATCAACAGGTTTTCTTAGTTTGCTGTGGAAGAATCTGACTGGACTGCATGAAACCCAGACTTCAGTTCAATCCAGCAGATGAGCTGAAGACCTCAAACCACTGTGTTCACTCGGCTACGCTCTCTGTTAGCAGCAGCAGAGCGGAGGCAGAATGTTGTGACTCTTCTAATGAGATTTGCACATTTTCACATTTAGAATTATAATGAGGTGAGCTTTACAAAAACACAAGAAGCAAAGTAATACGTGACTAAAGCAGCTGATCTATGACGCTCAGGAACTTGGTCCAAAAACGCAAAGCCTTCCCTCAGCACGACTCTAAAGGGCAGAAACACAGGAGAGATGAGAGGCTCTGTCCTACCACGACACCTGATCCTGCGTTTACCCTCCGTTACACCGACACAAACACACACGCGACTCATTTATATTGCATGAGGCAGGCGACATAGGTGGTTATTGGATCCTCCCGTTGGGAACAGTGGGTGATTCCCCCAATCCTGCCAATCGTCACGCCCTGCAGGCACTTCGCTGCCCGGCTGCCAAACAATGCTGCTGTCTCGCTGCCATGCAAATCTCATTATGTAACAAATGCTGCATTATGTAATGTTCGTAGTGCTCCACATCTCTGAGATGACAGCCGAGATAACAGAAAACTCTAAGAGACGACACTGGATGAAGGAGAAGACGCTGCTGTTTAGGTGGGGAGCTTCTTTCATCAGCTGACTGACAGCAGCACAAAACCTCAGCTGATCACACTCACACCGGTGGAAACAGCAGGTTAAACCGTATAGCGTTTGGCATGCACTGAATCTTCTGCTTTCATCCTCTCTCAGCCTTGTTAAAAACAACCAGAGCAGACAGGACACCAACCACAGAGGCAGCGAGCAGATCAGAAACCTGAACCTGACACGTCTATCTGCAGGGAACAAAAAAACAACAAGACCAGCAGGACGGCAGACAGTCAGTCGGTGTTTATTAACAGAGTATTTACAGTCTGAGGGAAAACAGAGAAGGCAGTGTGGTGACATGTGTCGCTGTGCTACGTCGGTCCATCCTTGTAGAGAATATCTGCCACCAGCGCTCTGACTGCAGCCGAATCCTCAGCATCTGTGGAGGCGAAACACAATGTGGCAATGACCACAGACATGGGATCATGCTTATGACAAGACAAAAGTGTTGAGTCCAAATATAAATGCAAGGGTGAGCAGTCACACAGCTTCATATGTCAACCAGTTAGCTTTGCTCAGCGAAAAGGTCAACAGATAAAAGTTAATACATACAGTGGTTGTCCATTTAATAACAATTGGGGTCAACCACTGAGCTTTATTTAGGACTAGTACTGATAATAAATATTAGTAATCAAGGAGGCCGACGACTAATATTAGGAATGAACAGATTAGCAGTAAAAATGAAAAACCTGATGTCAAATTCCTTTGTTAAGTTATGTTTTAAATCTGTCTAATTTAACAAAATACCTTTCAACAGTGATCCTTCAGTGGAGACAGGCTGTTATTTGTGACATATAACCATCAGATCGTTCTGCAGGTGGGATTTTGATTGACAACACAGAGTGACTACAGAAGAGAGACTCAGTTGCATCTAAGACAAAGTAGCACATTATTTTAGATTATTTATTTAAATTGGGACCCAGTTAACAATAATAATAATGAAAAACAACAATGCAAATAGTCGAGAAAATGCTAAATCCCAAACTAAACAATAAGTGGACCCCTAGTAAAAAGACTGATGTCAGGTTCAGACGACACAATACTTTGGACTGACGGTCACGGTCAGATTTGGTGATGTGGGAATCATACATTCTTGCTGAGATATGACAGGTCACATGGTGCTCCTGGACCAATCACAGCTTGCTGTATTTCACAACCTGCTTTTGTCATCAGAGGGCTGCACAACAGAGCAAGTTCAGGCTTCCTTTAAGTTAAAAGACAGCCACCTTCATGACACTTAGAACTCTGGCTTTAGTCTCAACATACCTCGATAACTAACTAATCTTGCTTCCTACAGCCCTCAGGAAAAGCACAGGAATGTAAACAAACAATGGTCTGACTGATAGTGCTGCCTCATGCTAGGAAAAGCTTCAGAGAAGAAAAATAAAATGATTGTGGGCCCATCTGTGGATCGCACCAACAGGACAGTATGACAGGCCGTCCTTCAGCCTGTCTTTCACTTTGCTTTGGTCACAGACACGTTGTGGAAGTTGTCACACAACAGGAGGGATGGCAACAAAAAAAAAAAGAAGAAATCTGACATGCAAGTCTTATTAGTGGGAGAACAATGAGGCGGCCACTATGACACACAGGATTAAACTATTATTTGTCCTGAGCTATTTTTTCATTTCCACAGCTTACATCGTTCAGGTTGGGTATTTTCATGCTGATGTCATGTTGTCTGAACCCGTCATAAGAGTCTATACAGAGAAGCCCGCTGGTCTGTGAGACCAAACACAGCAGTGCTTTGAGCTGAAGCATTTTTACATAATTACATGTTAACATACTGATGTTTAGTCGGTATAATGTTTAAAATCGTAGTTCATGAAGCTAGCATGCTGTCTTAACGCGCTAATAGGAGTCAAGACTGATGGTAATTTCTTTAATTCTGCAGATTATAAACCCAAATACTGTAAATGTTAATGTGTCGGCAAGGTAGATGAAAGGTGGTTTTCCAAACATCTACACAAAATCTGAAGTCATCCATCCGACAGTTGTTGAGATTTCAATGTAAAAGCTAAAGTGTCATTCTGCTGAAAGTCAGAGGGTCACCAAAACCATGATTATCTGTAGCAAATGTTGAGCCACTCAACCAGGAAGATGTTTGATATTTTACAGAATTGGTAAAAACCAGACCTGAAGGGGGCGCTACAGTAAAACATGAGGTTATCCAAAGGCAACAGGCCGACAAAATCTTGAATGTTTAGACTAAATTTAATGACAATCTGTCCAACAGTTGTGGAGATATTTTAATTTGAACAAAACTGCTGGAGCACCCAACATTTCCACCTCTAGAGCCAAAAAGCTAACATGGTTAAAAATGTCAAGATGGTTTTTAAGTGTTCTCCCTTTATTTTTATGTGAATTCAAATGACTTTATTTCTTCAACACATTCCATAAGAGGTCAAATAAAGCACACAAGTTGTTCTTCCTTTGTTGTGTTTATATCTAACAAAACCACTACTTCTAAGCCAACTTAGCTAAAACGTGGTATTTAGCCTGACTGTGACCACCTTCAGCTACATTATATTACTGATTGACCCACATATATGTGGAAAATAAGCAGACAAGAGGACTAAAGATGCTACTCTTATAATTTAGCAGGTTTATAGTTGCTGCAGAACTCAGTGGTGACTGATGTATGAAAGTTATTTCACTCCTACATCCCTCCTCTACCTCAAACTGCTCACGCTGCTTTCTGATCTACTCCATTTGCCAGAGCTTTAATGAAGTCCAATCCTCCCATGCAAACTGCTTCACAGTAGAAATGTTCCAGTAGCCCCCTCCAGTTTCATGCATTTCATTTTGATGGCATTTTGGAGCCATTTGACTTTGAATAACAAAAAGAGGAAAAAAGAAAAGACACCATGTGGAGTTTTTGATCACTGGTAGCACTCTGATCTTACAGGCAAAAAAAAAGGAAAAAGATGACTGTTGGTCAGGTAATATGGATGTGAGCACAAAATGCTTCCCAAATGGTTTATGAAAAAGGAAATGCTTTTAGTTCAAAGAACTCTAGTCGTCCCCAGAGGAGCAATTTAAAAGTCTACCCAGCAGAGCATACACTCACAGGGACTGAATGGCACAATACCAACCATTTACAAACTCAACCCCAAATGTGTCAAACTGTGTGCCAAGTAGCAACTATAGGGGCTTTAAATAATCTATTGCCTCCAGTATCAAATACAATTCTGACAGCAGACAGCTTTAAACATGGTGGACACCAGCTGAAATGAAGGAATAATTAAAATTTGCCCGATTGAAAACAATTCTATCAATTCTTTTTTTTTGAAGGAAAATGGAGAGATGCTATGTTTGCTTCTTCTTCTTTAAGGTTTGTAAGTAGTTGGCAAACAACTGGTTTTATTTGTGGCTTCATCTACTCTGTTTTTAGTGTCACATAAAAAAACTAGATTACCACCTTCTGATGACGCTACAGAGCCTAGCTAATACACTCAAAAGCACTTATTGGAAACAAGCTAAAATTACTTTTATCTTTACGCCATCCATCCATCATCTATACACCACTTAATCCTCACTAGGGTTGTGGGGGGCTGGAGTCTATCCCAGCTGACTAAGGGCGAGAGAACCCACGCTGCACGGGGAGAACATGTAAACTCCACGCAGAAAGATCCTGGGTGTCCTCACCGGGACGCGAACCAGCGACCTTTTTGCTGTGAGGCTACGGTGCTAACCACCGCTCCACCTCGCAGCCCCTTTTTTACTCTATGCAGCATTTAAACGCTTTCTGCAAATTGTCTTGCCAATAATATGAAAACACAGCTACTCAATGTGAAAGAAACTTCTCAGTTTACCAGAAAGCTCCACAGGGCACCTTTAACATGATGCAACCAAAAAGACCATCAGTTATGAACAGGCTCCTGTACAGCTGGAAACGTTTACTGGGAAGCAGCTGCAGATTAACTGAGTTAATAAGTGACAGTGCATCTATATTTAGTCCTAGCTGAAGTGCTCATTGGCTAAATATCCATTTTTGCAGGCACAAACGACTAATTACATAGTCAGCCTCCGTCTACAAGACGTTCCTCTTGTGATAGCTGGTGGGAAATAAAAAATCATCTTACCTTGCTCTGTTCAACACTATCTCTGCCTGCAACACACTATCCTGTCAGGTTGATCCTCCAGCTTCCCCTTATGTAGAAACCTTCTGACTTTCTGATGGAGAACCAACAGGCTCTTCATAATCACCTTCTGGCTAAAGGGCAGCGGTTAAGGTGAAGAAACAGCAGGGAAGAGCCTGAGAGCTGCTGCTGACATTTCTAGGGTTAGGTCAGAGTGAGGCAGCTCACACAGGTGACACCTACAGTTCAGAGTTCACCTTCCCTGTTTTACTTTTTTAAAATTATTATTTCCTTCTGTACTTTGCTGATGTCTTATTCAACCAGCATATGAAATCATGTGGAAGAATTTCCATGTACATTTTTACATGTACATCCTCTCTCCTTTCTTGTCTCTACACTCTGACATCAGACATTTCCCACAGTGTTACCAGAGGCTGCAAGAAGCTTCGCTAACACCACCAGCAGGCTTTAAAGAGCACCAGAATCTGCTTTTTCACTCACAATCACAACATTGCAATGTGTTTTTGGAATGACATTTTTGTGTGTCTTCATTTTGTTCCTGTAAATTGGTTTCCACTTGTTCTACAGTGATATGTAACATGAAGCGGGCCACGGGCTGCTTATTCATGCGGACCAAAAAGCATGAGCTAATTTGTAATTTAATTGCTTTTCATATTGCAACGACTTCAAATGTGCTGAGACAGAGGCGAGATTAATGTTCTACTTTAAAAAGCCATTAACAACAATAAGGAAATTAACAGGAAATAAACAGGCACAGCGATGATTAACCAAATTACAGGAGGATGATATTTCAAAAGCCTTTTGACTGCACAGACAATTTTCCAGAGACTGAAGGGCAGAAAGATAAAGAGTCAGAGAGCAGTATCCTTGGACTCTGCGGTCTGTGAGCTTGTGGATTACGCCTCTCTAAAAATACTTCAGTCCTTTCAGATCAGTTGACTGACAGGCCACGGATTTGTATACATTGGTATGTAGAGAGCCTTAGATCAGAGGCTCCCTGAATTAATTTCCCTCTTGACCTCTTCCTGTAGTGTATGTGTATCTGTGTGAGGCTGAAGCTGTAATTATATTTTGCGATTTCACTTTTTGGTGGTGAAATAGGTGAGAAACTGCAGTCATAAATTTATTAGTGCAACATTTGGGTCCTAGACCTTCATCAGACAAATACTTCCCTTTGGTTTAAATATAAAGCTATGATCAGTAGCCGGTTCAGCTTAGCTGAGCATAAAGATATCAACATAGAAGTGGTTTGTCTGGCTCTGTCTGAAAAAAGGGGGGAATTGTATGACATTCTTAATTATAATACCTGCATAAATGATTTTAAAAATTGTCACAGATGGCCAAAAAATGTACAGTATGTGTTTACATATGTCAATGATAAAGAAGCTTTCCCACAGTTATTTACTCACAAAACATTTTGCCTTCTAGTAACTAAACTGGCCCACAAGGTGAGTTGCATCAGCATCATATTCAGGACAAATTAAATAAACAAGATGCTACATCCATCCATTATCTACACACCACTGAATCCTCAGTAGGGTCATGGGGGGCTGGAGTCTACAGACAATTTAGAATCACCAATTAACCTCAACATGTTTTTGGACTGTGTGGGAGGAAGACGGAGAACCCAGAGAGAACCCACACTGCACGGGGAGAACATGTAAACTCCATGCAGAAAGATCCCAGGTGGATCCTCACCAGGATGCGACCCAGTGACCTTCTAGCTGTGAGGCAATGGTGCTAACCACCGAGCTAGTTGCAGCTAAACAAGATGTTGTCAAATGGATTTTACCCTCAAATAGAAACAGGCTAGCTGTTTCCTGCCTTACAGATAATGAAGAGCCAGTACTGTAATGAAAAGGTGTGTAAGTAGTTGGTCCAGTATGTGTCACCGTTGTGCTTTTAGTCAAACACAACATGAGAAGGAACCATAACTCAGGAGACAGTTTGTTGACCTCCTGAATGTGGCTTTGATGTGCCGGTGAAAAGGCTTTATGTGGATTTATGGACGGTCGCTATGCATTCCCGCCGTTTAAGATTGAAGATAATCGGTCGCAGAAATGAAAAATCAATTATTCAGATGATGAATTGCACAATTACTCAATGGCTCTTCTTTAGCGATAAGTGTTCACATCAGATTTAGTCTTCAGCACATGCCAACTAACAATAAACACACAAAGATGCTTGTGTGGGCGTGCATTTAGGGATGTGTTTTTTATGATTTATGTGAATTACTGCTGCAACGCTGCACTTTCCAATACATTACTTTAATATATTACATGGAAATGCAATTAAATGCGGCAGCTGGAATTGCCCAGTGAGTCCAATCCCAGAACATACACTCTCTCATGTGAACTCCGATTGACAGGCACACAAAGAGGCCCATTAAAGAGACGGACAGGGCCAGTAAAATCTTTATGGATGTTTGGATGTTTTGATGGCCTGATGGCCGGGACACCACTGCAGCAAAGTGTCTTTTTTGACAGGAGGGCAGCAGAGACCAGTGACAGACTGATGGCAGCATTAAGGTAGTTATGATAGAACAGATAACTTACCACGGACGGATTGTTTGGCTGCACTGAAAATGATGTGCTTGTCGGCTGTATTTAACTAACAAATTTGGATATTTTTTTATTTTAGTAAGCTGGGGCTGCGAGGGGCGCAGTTGGTTAGCACTGTTGCCTCACAGCTAGAAGGTCGCCAGTTCGCGTCCCAGTGAGTACACCCGGGATCTTTCTGTGTGGAGTTTGCATGTTCTCTCTGGGTTCTCCGGCTTCCTCCCACACAGTCCAAAAACGTGTTGAGGTTAATTGGTGATTCTAAATTGTCCGTAGGTGTGAATGTGAGTGTGCTTGGTTGTCTGTCTCTAAGTGTAGCCCTGTGATAGACTGGTGACCTGTCCAGGGTGTCCCCTGTCTTCACCCTGGGTCAGCTGGGATGGATGATGGATGGATGGATGGATTTTAGTAAGCTATTAGTTACACCCCTATTTGGGTCAAACACTTTTCACTCACTTTTCACTCAGGTGTTGCTAGATGAAGAAGTGGAAATAGTTCTACTGTCACATTACTTTTATGCTACATTGACGTGGTGGAAAAAAGCTTTATGGAGGTTTACGGATGACTGCAATGGACACTAATAATGAGCAATAAAGCATCCATCTAAAGCCAGGAGAACAAAGCTTGGACATATATATAATACATCTGTTTCACTAGACACTAGTATGTTCACTAGCAATTACAAGGCTTAGCCACAATGCTAACTTAACATTTTTTGTCAGTATCTTTGATGTTACAGACAGATTAAGGAAGGCATCTCTCTTCTTATCTAACTTTCTGCAAGAATGAAAATAAGTACCTTTCTCAAAATGTTAAGCTATTCCTTTAAGCAGAACACAGACACTAAACTTGCCGGCAAGCAGAATCTTGTTAGCAGTAAAATCCGTCATGTGGGGATCATTTCATTCTCTCCTCTTCATTAGTATTCAGGTCAGAGTCGGAGTGTTACAACTCGATGGCAGAAACTACAAACAGTCACAGTTGGTCTCTTATTCAATTACAACGTCTAACACGGGACGTGTCGGTGTAAGTTTAATGGAGGATGCTCTAATCTGACCTGAATCCTCCTCCTGATTACTGACCCTAAGTTGTTTGCGTACTCACCGACTCCCAGCACCCTCAGGTGACTTTTAAAGTCGGGTTTCTCCTCCAGCACCCGCAGCAGGTTGGTGGACTCCATCCGCTCCAGCTCCACCTTCCAGTAGATGTAGATTTTGTGATTGAAGCTGACGTACACCAGGCAGGGGCTGTTTTTACCCTCCTTACACGTGTACTGACCTGCAGTAACACATAAAGAAACATGAATCAGAATCGAAGACACACGGTGTTTAGTCAACATGTGGTGGTGGTGGCAGTGCTACGACATAGTGTGTTATCCCAATAAACACATCAGCTGTCCTCTGCTGCCAGGCTGCTGTAGCAGTGCCAGCTCCCACACAAACACATAAACCAGTCTAATCTGTGTTAATGATCATACAGAGCCGACAGAGAATAAAGTGGAGGGGAGGACTCGACTGGTTTCACGCGCCACACATGCACTCAGTGGGTGCAAAGAAACAAACCTCGCTGGATTCAGGCAGATCAAACAAAGTCTCTTGTCTCTTTCTGTAATCCACTTACGACTGCACATGTCACATTAGCTCCCTCAGATAAACTGTGTCCAAACACTGCAGAGAGATCTGACAGGGCACACAGAGGAAGGAGGCACAGCGAAACACAGCCAGACACTGAAGCTCAACGTTGCCACCTAGTGGAGGATGCTTGAAAATCCAGGACTTCACAGTAACCACTTCTGAAGCGCCACACTGCCATGACACTTTGTTATCATAGAAAGATTTATTCAAAATATCTACACACTTAAGGCCTTTAGTGCTCTATTATCATCTCCATCATTGTCTTATTTCTATCTATTTATGTGTTGCGCATAACCACTTATTCTTTGGGGGATGTCAAGTTCATTCCAACACTAAGTAAACACCAATCTGTCCCCAAACATCTGTAGAAAATATGTTAAATATGCTCTCCTTTATGAACCCGGTTAACAGACATGACTGCTATTTCCTCCATTAACAGACATGACTGTTGCTATTTCCTATATATTTTCAATGCTATTCCGTCTGTTAAGTAAAACATAAGTGTGTGACATCCCCTGGGGGCCACTGACATCTTTTTCCTGAATATTTAGAATAGAGTATATTTCTGCGTTTCCAAACAGATGTAACAGAGAGAAACCGAACACGGACCGTCAGAAGGAAGACAGAAGATTTTCTTTTCAGTTATTTTTTTGGCCTTTTTGCCTTCATTCGATAGGGGAGTCTAGAGAGACGCAGGAAAGTCCGGGAGAAGAATGGGGGAAGGACCTGCAGGAAAGGGCCATGAGCAGGACTCGAACCCATCACCTCTCCGTCCTGAACTTCGGACGCCAGCTCAACCTGTTGAGCTGTCGCGGCGCCCCGAGAGAAGATTTTCTTGCACATTACAAGATGCATACAGCCCAGGGATTTATTCTAGCCGGTGAAGTTACTTCTTACAGTAATCACAGCTTCTTTTTCACATTTCTGCACAAAGATTGTTTGAAAATGGAAAACGCTTCAGTGTAAAAGCCTGAGTGTTGTGTGTTCAGTCAGCAGAGGTAACACACACTCAGAGCTCTGCAGCGTCACACATTCACTCTCATGTCTGTTGCTTCTTTTACTTCTCCCTCGTATTGCAGTACATACAGTACATCCCCTTGATGCAACTGGATACTGGATCAGTGACGTTTCCTGGGATCATCGGGTGTTTCCGGCCTTTCAACATCACACACCATCACGCAGGTGACCCAGGCCCAGGTGGCGCTGTGCCACCCACGGGTGTCTATTTCATAATGTATCTACATGTCGCTTAAAGCTTAAAGCCATTTATGTGACTCAGACAGATCAGAAATTAGTCAGATTAATGTCTGAATCATACATGTTTTCAGGTGTCACTGAATGTAATTCTGGATTTTACAGAGACATTATTACCTACTGAAGTCCTGTTTGCCTCCCACAGCTGGCAGATTCTGTCCTTTGACTTTAATAAATACCTGCAGCATCACAGCAGCGGAAACGATGAGTGTATTTACATAGATGGCACAGCAGCAGCGACGTCATTAACACAGGATCTGACGGTAAATAATGTCGAGTTCTTTCACTCGTCTGACAGTTTAGCTTTTCCTCACAGATTCCATTTTTTAACTTTGGAATTCTTTGTATTAAAGCTTCTCCAGAAGAACCCTGAGCTCCACCTGAGCTGTCAGAATGGTTTTACTAAGATAAGCCCTAAACCTGAAGATTACTAACTTGGCTGGGAAAATAATCACACTTGAGCCAAAACACTGATTAGTAAACACGCAAGTGAACCTGTAACATAGATGTCAATAGAAAAACTATGCTGCTGTAAAAACTGTTCAAGACGGCGGCATTAAGGAGAAAGTCTGAACTGATAATCAAGATAGTCTGGAACTCAATATGAAGTTTCTCACCTGCACAGAAGGCGTTGACATTCTCATCAAACTGGAAACGCACCACAGTCCGATTGTGATCGATGATGTAGGTTTGACCGTCCCAGGCACACGCCACCACCTCCTCTCTGCCGTCTCCCTGGAAGCAAACACACATACAAAAGGTCAGTTCTCTTTGAAGGATGCATAGACATAAGGCTGACTCTGCTGCTCAATCAACAAATTAGTTAATCATCAATAAATGGCAACAACCATCTTAAATAATTCCTTTTTAAATAACAATGTCAGTCGTTTGTCAAGCAAAACATGCTCGACAGACGTTCACTGGTTAAAGCTTCTGAAATGTGCAGATTTTCAACATGTTTCACTTTAAACCTCTGATCCTAAAGCGGTTTCCAACCATTTTCTGCTCCTGTCACTTTCTTTCTCACTATGGACTCTTTTTTTTTTACTGCAGAATAAAGTCTTGCATCTCTATGGAAACAGGACAACCATGGCTAACAGTAGAGAGAACTCAGAAGTGTCTTTTGTGCAGAGTGGCACAGTTAAAATGTCAGAAATAATAGCAAAAGAAAAGATGGAAGCTGAATTGAAAATAAATAAATGAATAAAAGGAATCGGCATGTTCAACATCTTCAAGTGCTCACAGGCTAATAAAAAACTGTTACTCTACATGACATAGATATTTTACTCCTTACATTTATTTTTAATTTATCATCATCCTTGTCTGCTCTGTGTGAACACAGCCTGCAGCTCAGCCCTGGTGCAAATGACACATGCTAGATAAAGCAATTTTGATGAAATATCACGACTTTAAGTTTAGATTTGGTTAAGTTTTCTGACAGAACGGCACGCCACAAGGACCAGTGGACAGTTTAACATCAAACAATTGCTTCTGTTTTTTTATAAATGCTGTAATTTCAGTGATTTTGTAAAAGAAAACATGCCTTTTAAACCTGGCAAGTTTTTGGGTTCAGGGGATTTACAGTATTTTTACAGTGTATTTGTTCTATTATACTTACTGACCCTTACAAAAACAACAACATGTCAGATTTTTGATAGAGGTAAATGATAGAGCTACTTACTAATTTTAAAAACTGTAATTAAAAAAAAACCAGAATTTTTACTAAATGGGACCATTAAAGTTGAATCAAAAATGAAAACAACCCTCAGTTTGAAGCCGTCACAAACACAGTAACATCACAGACTCACAGTAACGTCGAGCTTCTGCAGGGCAAAGAGCTGATGATCCACCTGCACCGACCACAACAGCTGCTCCGAGCTGTCCATCAGCTTCAGGGTTCCTTTAACACGGGAAAACTATGTGAAAACCAGTGAGCCTCAACTTTACAGCTAAAAATAAGGACTAAATCAACAAGTCTCAATGCTTAGAAAAAGTGCTTTCTGAGAAACTCTCAGATTTTGGGGTGTTTGCTTTTCAAGGCTGTTTCACAAATAAAATCACTTGAGTGCAAGGCTTCTGTAGCTGACTTTTACAGGAGAAGAAAACAGCAACAATCAAATTCCCCAAACTACCATAAGAATTCAAAATGATTGAGACAAAAGGTTGCAGCAGAAAAAAAGTAACCCTGAGTTCATGCCAACCATCAGAACCTTCAAGCTAGCAGGGAGTGAAAATCAATGAAATGAAATGACTGAAATGACTCTTACTGTTTCATAAAGGTGAGATAATGTCCTGACTCTACTCTATGTGAGCCCATCAGCACCAGGGGGACTGTGTAGTAATGCTGGTGGCTGGAAGCCTTTGCTGATGATATTCCTGCTGGCTCCTCACTTCCGTAAATACTGATGGACTCTCAAGCTGCTCGCTTTATCAGTTATCTGCTGCTGCCAGGAGAATGCTCTATGTCCACCTATATACACTGTAGGAGTTACCTCTCATTCTTAATTCTTATTTACTACTTTTCTGACAACAGTGAAACGGGGGTCGCTTTATTTTTGGAAAGTTGAGAAGGATTTATGAATAAATCTGAAGATGTTGCCTGTGAAGAATTCTGCAATAAGGTAAACATTTATGAAAAGGGTGACAGTGTTTGGTGGGAACACTGCAAGCTAACCACCAGTTATTCTACATCTATCAACAGATAGGCATAGAATTAAAAAACAAGCTTTTTTGTAATAAACAAAAAATAAACACATAATTTAACATTGGCTTAAATAAACCTTTTTGAAGGAATTGTCCTTTTGTCTATGACTAGTATTAAATGGCACCGCTTTTAGCAGCAAACACTATCAGAAATTGTTTTGTTTCACACAAAATAAGTTGTGTTAAAGAATATAGAGCGGCTTTTTTGTTGGTCTTTTCATTACCTGTGTTTCAGTAATCAGTGTTGATTGATGGCACTCTAGCTTCTTTTTTTTCACAAATCATTAAACTGATCCTTCAGTTTTACTCAAACTTTCCTTTTCCTGAGATTAGATTTTCGTCTTATACAAATAAACCTTCCTAAAACGTTTCTGCCAAAAAGGATAAAAAGGTGTTTAAAAGTCATGACTTACCATCTAAAGTACAAAGAGCAAACAGGCCACATTTAGAAGATTCCTCTTTTGAACCTGATGAAAAACAGAGAACGTGTCCAATAAAACTTCAGAATCTATTCCAGGATTTTTGAAGGCTTTTTTGGACCTTTTAAACACCATATGAAACCGATACCAGGCAACTGAACATGGCCTGGGCAAGAAAAAGAGCAGTAATAGATGAGTACATTAGCCAATAAGGAAACAATTAAGTTAGGTTTTGGACAACTCCATGTAACTATTAAAAAAATGTGTTGCAACACAATCCACTGTTACAATAGTTTCACTTGCAGCTTCCAACAGCCTGAATCATCATGTATCACCTGTAGCTAATGTTTCTGTTTACACAACACACAAAAAAGCATTTAAGACCTTAAAGAGAGAACTTTGGTCACTGCCTTTAAGGACCTGCAGCTTCTCTGTTCTCTCCACTTTTACGTATCTCTTCAGTACCCCTTAATCAAGTGTGGCTTATATGAACGTAAAACCAGATAATCAGTGTTTTATACCTTTGCTTATGCTGCCAATGAGATGAGTAGAGACGTTCTTGTTGTGTATCCGCCCGGTGGTCAGGTGGAGAACTATGTCTCTGGAAGGTCCTTCGCTGTGAGCAGAGAAAACAAACGTAGTTAACACAACCAATGAATCAACACTGTAATTATTACTTCTATTCTGACAGGACCCACCTCCCGGGCGTGGCAGGAGCGTCGTCTCCAGATCCACTGGAGTCCTGTTGTGTCCAGGAGCAGAGCAGGATAGCGTAGCCACAACCTGGCTGAGACACCATCAGCTCCGGTAAACCCTCTGGACCCGGGTTCACTGACAGACTGTCCACCTGCAGCACACACAACATCATTATTATCAGTATTTTTTTGTAAAAGTTGATCAACTTAGATTTCAGTCTATGTGCCCTCTCAATACCAAGAGACCTGACATCAGCTTCTATAATGTCTTTGTGTGAAGTTATAGTTCAACCTCTTAAATCAAGATGCACAAACTCAGCAGAAAACAGCTTCTCTCACAGTTTGTCACAACAGAAGGTCTCAGCGCATTTGTTGTTGTGTTTCCTGATTTGTCTCCTAACTGCATTTTTGTCACAACATCAACAATTTATTGGTAGATTTTCTTTATTCAGACTTTTTTTTTTTAATATATATATTGTACTATTTATTAAATAAATATGTGTTGGTCTCAGATCTTTGAAACTATGTTTTAAAAAACTACACAATGACTAATATTATTAGGAAAGATGGCTACTCCTTCAAGGAATAGTTTGACATACCAGGTAATACACTTATGACATTGTTTTAAGAGCAAGAAGATTTGTACAAAGTGTCTGTATGTAAAATATGTAACAACAAACAGATGGTGATTAGCTTATCTTAGACTTAAGACTGGAAAAAGGTAGAAACAGCGAGAAAAATGTGCCTAGTAGTGCTTCTAAGGGTGTGTTCAAACAAATACATGTTCATTGTGCCATCATTGTCGTCCAGACAAGCTTTAGCACCATTTCGAAGATAACCTCTGTGTACACGAACACACCTGAAAACTGAGAACACCACTGGACATGGAAATCAGCACAAATCAGTCAAATAATAGCAGCATGATGAAATGCAAAACAGCTGCTGGCACAGACAACAAGGTCAGCAAACTAATCACGCCGGATCCTTTCCACTGGTTCTGAAACATCAGAGCAGTGTGGATGTCGGTGTAAAAGCAGCAGAAGTGATGCATTTTAAAATAAAAACGTTTTAGTGTGTACGTAGCCTGAAGCTCACTAAATAACACGTCTTTATGCTAAGTGAAGGTAACCATGTGCTGACAGACATGGGGGTGGACTCTCCCACTTGGTGGCACATGTTGCCCAGTTGGACAACGACTCCTTTAACCCCTTGACTGCACTGTTCTGTATTCTCCAGCTGTATTGAAAACCTCTCTGATGCAGTGCTGTAGAGGAATGTGGAGTAGATCATAGTAGATAACCACAAACGGTGCTCTTTAAATGGCTACTTCTGTACCATATACAATAACAACAGACTTGTCAACAATGACACTCAGTTCTGGGGACTTCCTGTTAATGCTCACCTGTCCCTCCAGCAGCCATTTCTTCAGCAGAACCAGCTGACCGGATCCCGCATCTGAACCATCCGACGGTTCCTCCCAGCGGAAGGCTCGCACCACTCGGTCCGTGTAGCCCACCACCAGCTCACAGCGCCCATCTCCATCTGGGGACATGAACACACCGTAGTCAGACCCAAAAGCACAATAAACACATTGGACAATAAAAGAAAGTAAAGCCTGAATTTACCAATGTCACTGATGAGGATGACTTTGGTGTTAGCAGGAATATGCTGGGTGAAGAAGGGCTTCTGGTCTTCAGACGAAAAGAATTCATGTTGGCTGGATGATTCTGCTTTGCTTGCAGCGGTGGCTGTCAGGTCGAAGAGGTGAAACCATCCTTCTGCACCCACAGCGACCACAAAGTTCTGACGGACAGAAAAAACACAGAATACAATGTGTCACATCACATCTAAACCTGTCTGACACTGATTCAGCTGCCTCGTATTTATCTTTCCTTACCTTTCCTTTGTTGCAGACATCTCCAACTGCAACACAGGTCAGCTGGAAAAACACAAAACATAAGGTGAGCAAGAAATCAAATCTGTTGCCTGAAATCCTGACTTTTCAGGCTGCTGGACTGACCATGCCCACACAGGTTCTTGTGATCCACGGTTTGGAGTCATCGTTCTTGTAAACAAGCAGCTTTCCACTGGTGTCTCCTACGACCAGCTCATTCAGCTGCAGTGAGTGAAGACAGACAGCACTTTTATTTTGCTATAACACAAAACAAACAGTTACGTCGAATAATCTGATAAGATTCTAATCAGGACTCAGATTCTGACATTCTTTCAGGTTCTTCTACTGCTGATTTCTTCTCACACTGACAAAACAAAAGAAGAATACTAAATGAATGCCTACTTTAAGTTTTCACTGGATATACTCAAAGCACCTGTCAATTATTTTCTCATTAACAGACTCATCACTTGGTTCATGAAATGCCACAAATTAGTGATAAATGCAAATAACAATTTCCAATATCCAAATATCCCTAACAACAGTATAAAACCCTGTGACATTCTAATTGAAAAGATATCAAAGAGGACAAAAGAGTAAATTCACAGATTTCAGATGCTGAAACCATCAAATATTTAGCATTTAAACAACGTAGCATGAATGAAACCGATATCAATTTATTTCATTGTTACCTGATTATCGGATGGATCAGCGACTTATTCCAAGTCTATACACATTTTTATCAACTAGACATAAAAATCCAAGATATTAGCTACGTATCAGTCCCTATAAGCAGGATGATGTCTGTGGTAGATAGGATTTAGAAAACAATTGAGCACATCGTACAGTAAAGGGAATAAAACTAATGCTGGTGTAAGTTAGTGTCCAAACTGGTGACTGCATTACAACAAAAACTGATTTCTTATACAGGAATAACTCCTGTTTCCCACTGCATTGTAGAAAAACATGTATTGAGGCAAGTTTTCTATCAGGATTATGGTGACATTTATACATGCATGCCTCGGCCCATGGACAGTGTTTATCAGTCTGCATCAGGATTTGTTCATTACTTATGGGATGTTCTAATACTCATCACTGTGAGCTGTACACTACGGCTGGGTGGCGGCTCTCTCTGTAAGCTGTGATAGACACTGAGTTTTACTGTTACTTGACCTCCATACATTATCATCATTACTGCCTTTATTGCACATGTTCAAATAATTGGACTACACGGCATGTGCTGAGTGTTGTAACTGAACGTTTTGGACTCTTTATATTTTTCTAAGTTCCTCAATTGCTTTTCAAGTTATTATCTTTCCTCTGCACATGTAAACAACACAACCTGAGCCTAAGAGCTTCAGCAAAAAGCAGCTGGACTTCTGCTTTTTTTTTTTGGTTCTTGAAAATGTTTCATCTCTCATCCCAGAGACTTCTTCAGAGCTGGATGGAAGCATGTTCAGCACTAGATGAAGTGAAGAAGCCTCATGAAAGAGAGAAAAGAGAGATGCAATGCTTTCAAGAACTAACAAAGAGAAGTCCAGCTGGTTTGTACTAAAGCTCCCAGAACGTCTGTGACCTGGACGACTGAGAATCTGTACACAGACAATCCTGCCTCTTTCCTTCTGCTGGTGTTATTGCAATTATGCAGCATTATAAATGCAGCACATTAGACGAGATCAAGAAGAAATGAAAGGAGTTTACTTTGCAAATTAAAGTCTTAAAGTCTTAAGTTATCATACCAGAAGTACATGCATGTTTCCAACATCATGATTCACAATGGTGGGCTTATGTTGCTCGAGCAAATTCAAAGGACATTATATTGGAACTCTACGTACGACGCTAAGCAAAATGATTGTGTGAACACAAGAAGGTGGAACAAACAACAAAGCTTCATTACCGAGTCGTTGTCTGCGTCTGCCAGACAGATAGCATGAGGAAACAGAGTTCCTGTGAAATCCAAACTGACCCGCTGGACGTAGTTCAGAGACCGCATAGCTCCTGGTGTTCGCTTTATTTAAAACCGCTTATTCACCCAAATACTTACAGAAAGTCAGTCAGCTAGTTGACAGCTAGCTTAGCTCCTCTTCGAGGCTGAGAAGCTAAAATTAGCCATAGCTAAGCGTAGACAGCAAACTATATTGACACAGCGTCTTTATTATCCAACTGATTTAAACACGTGCCTATTTTAAATTACTCTGAAACGTGCATAAATATATATTTGTGGCCAAATTTGCTAACTCAGGTGACACACGCGCGCCTCTTCCTAGCAAACAAAACCACGTGACCTAAAAACTACGGAAGCCCAGCGAAAACAAAACACTTGATCCGCAAAACACACGCCGCTGATTTATTAGTGTTTGTGGTGCTCAGGTGCGTTTTCCCACATTTAAACTGAATGTAACTGGCTGCTGTACGTGTTTTTAAAACTATTTAACAACTGAGAAATGAAAAAGTGGGATTTGTATCGTTGTGGGTCTTATTTGGCGTCAAACAAGGACGCCTAGCGGCCACCGTGTGCCAGGACCACAAACACGTACAAAGATATGGAGTTTTGAAATTGTATTATTTTTTATTATTATCATTTTTTACTGTTATTATTTTATTTATTTATTTATTTTACAATTATAATTGACTTGTTTTCTTTATTTCCACCACGTCCGCAGGAAATCACATTTTTACATGGTCCATCAGCCTAAAACAGAAAGATCAGATCAAACTATATGTAATCAATTACTGAAGATTTCATTATTCATTTATTGGTCTATTAACAACAACTAGAGACTATTTTATTTCAGCTGCCCTTAGAGGGGTTGTCTTGCGCCACCTTTCTCTTTATAATTTCTCTTTAAAATACCCCCAAAGGTGTTCTACTGGAGTCGGGTCAGGTGACACTTATCCAGGTCAGAAATTTCCCTTTTTCCTTCTTTTGAAACTCCTGCATGATGTTGGCAGTGTGCTGTGAATCACTACTATGCTGGAAGGCTTGTTGTTAACCAGGACTTTGTTATATCCACAGACATTCATGGTGTCATCTATAAATTAAATTTAAGTTATGCTCTCATGCAGATCCAGATCATTACACTCCTACCTCCGTACTTCACTGTCAGGACCATGCATTCACTGTTGTTGTCCTGACAAGATTCAACGCCAAGCATCCTGATTTACAATCAGACTTACCAAACTTATTGTGGTCCCATCTTACCAAACAATGTGCTCACAATCTGATTTCTTTTTGTGCTCTTCAGGAAATTTTTATTATGCAGATTTTTTTCCTAAAAAGCAAATAAGGTTTTTTTTTTTTTTTAAATTCTTGGATGCTGCCCACAGAGGTTGACCTTATGTGTCACCTTCACCATGTATAAGCTGTCAAAGAAGCGGATTTCCACTGATTACTTCAGTGCCAAGTCTGAAATACTTGCCCATTGGTTTTCCATCCTAGACTGGGAAAGTGGTGCACTGTCCACTGGGTCATTTCAGGAGGACGGCCACTACAATTCTGATTAGTTGTACTACGGCTTGTTATGCACCTCCTGATTACTCATGATTTGAATTTGTACGTCGTATGTATTTTCAGTAAAGTCTGTCTCTGATTGTTCAGAAACCAAATCTGAAATATTGCAATCATTGAGAGGTGATACAACGATGAATTTGATTTGACATTTGGGTGATACTGCTCAGGGCTGTTCTCATGTCTGTTGTATATGGTATAGTGTTGTCGGTGGGGTTATTTCTGTTGTTGTGTTTTTTCTTCTTTCTTTTTTTTTGTTTGAAAGGTCTAGAGAAGTTAGGTGAGGGGAGAAGGACTGTTGTTCATCACTGTCATTTGTACCAATAAAGGAAAAGTAATAAACAGTGTTTACAACAAAACAAACTAAAAAAGTGTGACATTCACAGAGAACCATATACAACAGAAAAATAACTGACATGCAGCACTACATTCAAGCCATTTTTCTTTTTAAAATTCCAACCTCCAATCCATATACATACAGATAAACTGTATCCTGTTTGCAAACTATATTATAGTTTTGTGAACTGCTGTATCTTTTTTTTCTCTTTTTGATTCAATAAACCCACCATGTATCCACTTGCTTTTTTTCTAGGTGCACAGCTGTATTAAAGTTGGGTGGATGAGGAGGTGCAGCTTTAGAGGTATACTCGACGGTAAGTGCCACTGTTTGTCCTCAAGAGGGTGCTGTCCAATTACAACTTTTCCTGTCAGGAAAAAAACCCCAACAAAAAACAGCGGTTGGAGGGAGTTCAGTCAGTCAGAAAACAATCATCACAGAGGCAGAATTCCATTACAAAAACAAGCTTTTGAAACTTTACTGTATTTTCCTCTCTCTATCTTTCTTCTTCTGTGTGAATGGTATGAAAACCAATTTTTAAAAAAAGTTGGTCACAAAAAAGGTAAATGGAACTTTTATTACATTTTTTAAGAGTCTTTACAACCTAATTTATTTCTCTCTCTCTTTGTGAGCATGTGAGCGTCCATCTACAACCATGCTGCTTCTTCTAAAGCAGATCCTTGTAAATATGAGGATTTTTTTTCCATTGAATGAAAAGCACGTAACAAAACACTCTAAAAACTGTTTTTAATGACAAACAAATTGGAAGATAATCCCATACAAAACACACATTAGTATGGGCGCTTCTAGGTTTTTGTTTTACAATCCTCCTCCTCCCCCCCAAAGAGTGCCTAAAGAAAAGAGAAAAATACAGAAAGTGGTTAAATGGGAACTCGGGCGCCCAGATGTCATATTAATTATTACACCCAGCTATGACTGGAAAGCCCCTCGAGTAAAGTGAGCGCCCTCCCGGCCTCTGGAAGACCAGCAGCAGCACTGGAGAGAGAGAGTCCTCACAAAGCGCTAATTGGACTCTGGAAGCACACTGACAGGGCATGGATAGGTTTCAGAAAGCCTGGCGATGGCGAAGGGGCGCAGGGGGACGCTGAATAGAACCCACGCCTCTTTTCTAAACTCTCTTGCTGGGCCAAAAATAGGGGGAGGAGAGGGGGAGAATGAGGGAGGGGGGGAGGGAAAGAAAAGAAAGTATAGGTGGTGGTGGTGGTGTGTGTGGTGGGGGTGTTCCTCAATGCAAGCTTGATTTTGAATGCCACTGCCAACACAGAAAAATTGCACAATTTATTACAATCCCCTCTATAAGGCGCGCGTGCGTGGGTGCACGCGCAAAGAAATAAAGAAAAAGAGAAGGGGGAGGAGGAGTGCGTGCACACACACATACACACACACACACACACACACACACACTCAACACTCAAACATAGAGAGATGGAGGAACTTCGTGCGTAAAAGTGGACAGAAAAAAACAATTAAAATTCTGGTTTCTCTCTTCTCTGTTTGATTGCGCGCACATGCATCACACATGCACGCGCAAACGCACGCACACACACCCACTAGAGAGGGTATTACAGTTCGGTCCTGTGTTTTTGTTCCTCTCTGAAAGACGTGTTTTATTATTCCCCACTTCTCAAAGCGACAATAATGGACAGATCGCAGCGTGTCCACGCTACTGTAACCGTATCAGGTGTATCAAATCATACACAAAGCCTCCTCCGAGCCGCTTCTTTAGGGCCCCTCCGCAGATTTGCGTCTCTGTGCGGCTGATGATCTGCGCTAATCAAAGTGGAAAATTCGCCCTCTGACGCACAATAGTCCCTCAAATGAGCGGCATCCAGGCGCGTCTGTACTGTTAACAATAACACTAGACGAAATGAAATGACAGAGAGATTTACATGCACACACTGAGACATGAGGGCTGCTCTGGGTGATCATGGAAATCTGCTCGGTGAGCTGTCTTTCAGCACCACGCTCAGCCGAGAAGAACTCTGAAAATAACTGGAGTTTGTTGGTCGTGCTGAACTATGAAAGTATGTCCTTGCTTTTGAATCCTTTCTGTTAAAGTCATATCACTGGAGTTTCATCGGTTTTTTTTCTGTTGATGCTCATTTGTCTCTTTCTGACTCAGTTCAAAAATATGCCAAAAACATTATTTTATTCGGATTTTAAAAGCGCATCTTCTCTTTTTCTTTCACCAAGAAACTCACAAATCAAATTTCACTTTGTTTAACACGAATTTCCAAACACAAAGTGAGTTTTAAATTCATAAATGAGGCTGATACTTTGTCAGTTTTATTTTACTCACAGAGTGAGGTGTTCAAACTTGTTGCTCTACTGGCTGTGGGTTGGACACAAACGGTAAGAAAACACCAACATGTTGTAGTTTTTCTATTCTTCTGTGAACTTCTCGTCTTTGGAAACTTTCCTCTGAGTTGTGCGGCACACCTACTGACACCCGTGATAGATAGAAAGAAAACAAAAAACTCACCACTGACTGTTTGTTTAGTGCTTCAAGTGGCACGCGTCCGGCGCGCGTAACGCACCGGTACCGGGGCAGGAGCCCAAGGTGAATCCACGCGACCAGAGGGCGTGGCCAGTCCCTCATCCAAACCTATTGAAAAGCAGTGGCGTCTTTCTTCGAGGACTCAGTGCAGCTTTGAGGAGCGCGCAAGGCAGCAGCCCAGGACTGCCCCACTGAAACAAGTGCCACAACACGTGAACGGCACGAGCGGGACGCACCGCCTGGACACTTGGTGATTCTTTATCAGTTTGTGTGTGTGCGTGTGGGCTTTTTTTTTTTTACTTACTGGGAATGGACCTCACAGCCAAAATGGAAATTAACGTCAGCCAGCAGCTGATGCCGCCCGCTTGTTTCTTTTCGGCCGCGGCGGCTCAGAGCATCCAGCTGAGCCCCAGCGGCAGCAGCCAGAGCAGCGGGAAGTCTGTGTCCAAGCAGCCCAAGAGGCAGCGCTCCTCCTCCCCGGAGCTGCTGCGGTGCAAGCGGAGACTGAATTTCGCGGGTTTCGGCTACACTCTGCCGCAGCAGCAGCCGCACGCAGTGGCCCGGAGGAACGAGAGGGAGCGCAACCGGGTGAAGCTGGTCAACAACGGGTTCGCCACCCTGCGGGAGCACGTCCCCAACGGCGCCGCCAACAAGAAGATGAGTAAAGTGGAGACGCTGCGCTCTGCGGTGGAGTACATCCGTGCCCTGCAGCAGCTGCTGGACGAACACGACGCTGTGAGCGCAGCGTTTCAGTCCGGGGTCCTGTCGCCCACCATGTCGCAGGGATACTCTGCAGACATGAACTCCATGGCAGGTTCACCCGTGTCCTCCTACTCGTCCGATGAGGGCTCCTACGACCCCCTCAGTCCAGAAGAGCAGGAGCTGCTCGACTTCACCAACTGGTTCTGAGCATCCATGAATGGTAAGAATACACCAAATTACGTTAATATCAGACACTATGATGGCTAAACATTCACCATGAACACATTGAACAGTGGCTTAACTTGGCTTTTCTTCTTCTTCTCGCAGAAATATGGATCAACTCAATTTACTGTTGTCCTGCGCTTGGGATGGCCCCGGAGGAGGCTGGGTGTCCTCGAGAACAAAATGCACTGAACACGCGTTTTGGTCCTGTGTCCTCACCGCCCGGTCCTCTCAGACTGACAGACACGGCCTTAAGGTCCTGAAAACTTGGGGGAAATCAGGCCAGAGTTCAGCGCCAAAGGATTAAAGGAAGACGGGTCTCCTGACAGCGTGGGAATCCAAGCTTCTGTGCATTTGCTCATGACAAACAAACAAAAAAGCCCTAAAGTGAATTCATGCTCTTCGGCAGCACATTAAAAACATTATTTAATACGTCGCTCTTCAACTATGCTTATCCAATCACACAACACCAACCCTTTGGTAAACCTCTCAGACGTTGAATTCCGAAAATGCTTCCAAGTCGCGGATTTATTCTATAAAATTCTATATCAAACGCTTTTTTGAAATATATTAAGATATTTTTGTATGTAAGAGATTTATAGATGTTTTGTACACATCCTTTTGTATATATTTTGTCTATATATTGCGAAGTTGCTTCTATACCTCCTGCCTATGTAGACGTGTAGTCTAATATTCTCTGGCTCTTCTGTTCATGAGGTTTCCAGAAGGAGTTTGATACTCCGAGGTTTTATTCTAGCACCAATGTGTCTTATTTAATAGCAGAACCATGTTATTGCATTTTGTCATGTCACAATGATCAAAACTTATGCAGCTATTGTCCAAACACAGTGCAATAGCCAAGCATTGTCTCTTTTTACTGCCAGCTCTATATCCTCATCACATAAACAGATGTTGAAAACAAGAAGTCTTATAACCATATTTTCTACACTCTAGTCCAAGAATAAAAGATGCTACTGAATTACTTTGCATGTCTTGTTTTGTGGGTGTATTTAAAGGAGGGGTGGGGGGCTTTCAACATGTGGCCATTAAGTTGGTAAATAAAACACCAAGTAAGAGGAACGATGAAGCTAGAATATTGTATTCTAGACTTTATTTCAAAACAAATGCACTTTTACGCACATTTTACGCACGGTATATTTTGCTATTCCTTTTTAGAAATGCAGCACACAGTGGCTCATTAAAGCCTTTAGTCACAGGTCCATCACCCACAGCCACATTGTCCAACTCTGCTCTGTCTCTTTTGTAATACTGGGCAGTATTTGCAGCAAGAGAACGATTTTTCGCAAATACAAAACGTGCGTAAAATGTAGGCATTCTCTTTATTTTCGTGTGCTAAACAATTACACACGAAAAACTGAGACCGTGTTTGTTTCTCCGAAATAGAAAGCTTTAAAATATAGAAAAAGTTGCTAAAATACCACCTAAATATAAACAAATTTGCCTTTTCTGCTTAGTTGAAAGGAATCGTTCTCGTATTATGTAGTGTTGCCCCGAGGCAGCTTTAATCGATGCGTGACGTGCACCTTGTAAACAAAGTACGCACAGAATGCTTTATTGTGGCGCTATTTTCTCATTTGCGCGGAACTGAGACACATAATGAAGGATGAAGACAGCCCTTTACAATCAGCAGATGGAGTGAAGTTTAGAGGATTGGTTACACGTTAGAGGTCAGCAGGAGATGTGAGGTAGAGCTTGTGTTTCTGCACAACTAAGTTTGACAGGTAGGGCGGAGGCTGCAGCCGGACGCGTGTCTGGTTTAATGAGTGAATGGGGTCTGGATGGTGGTCGAGTGGAGACACAGAGCTGAATTGGCTGATGGCGTGTGCCTCCTGACAGCAGCATGCCGCTGAACACACAACAACCACCACCTGGGAAGGAAGAAAAAAAGCCCTCCGTGCGCGTGTGGCTCCAGTTGAGACACTTTGCTCTCGTTGTTTAAAAACTTGTTTTTAGCTCAGTGGTTGGAAAATGGAAGAAATCACGTCAAAAATTACACATTTGGCTCTCCGACAAAATATTCCGTTCTGTCAGAGAGACAATGAGGAAAACTTGGCGTTGGGCTCAGGGTTCATTGTACAAGATGTACCACATCAGTTGTTCTCAAAGGAGGGTTCGTGGACCACCAGGGGGCCTGAGAGGGGGGCAGAGGGTCCAGTGAAAAGTGAACAGTGCTGCAACTCCACTGTAACTTACAAGGAAAGTTTGAAAGAACTAGAACTAGTGAAAAACACTTGCTAATATATAATAGTTCGGATTTAACTGGGACATTAGATTTCATTACTATTCTCAATCCAGTCCCATAATACAAAAATTAAAAGATAATTAAGAGAAAGTATATTTCTATTGAAGTTTAAGACACAAACCTGTTGAAAAAAGCTTGCCTGATTTATTCAGCAGTTAAATATTTCCTTGTTTTCAATCTCGTTTTACTTCTGTTGTTGTTCAAACTGTTGTAAAACATTGAGAGTGAAAATTCAATAAAAAGGTAAAGCTGTAAATTAAAGGAACAGTTCATGTTTAAGTATAAACTAAAGACTTTCCCACCTCCTGCAAAATCAGTATCGCTTCCAAAATGACTGACAAACCTTTTGATAAACAGATAATATTTGTAAATATAATTTATAGGTATTTTCTGATGTGGATACAGTTTTGCAGTTATTAAAAATATCTCTTATCAGAAAGGCAAATATGTCTAAAGTTTGTTTTCAATTATACAGACAAAAAATATTCAAGTCCCGCTCTTCTCTGATTTGCGTGAATAAAGCACTTCAAATTTTCAATTTCTTGTTTCACTTCAGAAAAAACAAATAAGCAAAAGAAAAAACAAAGACAATACACAAAAACAGCTTCAGTAAGATAGAGATGAGATTTTAAAAGTAGCCAGATTTAACACATAGCATCTAATAACAGAACGTTTAAGAGGAGCATTAAAGAACACCCAGCACATACCTGTATAACACAAGTGGAGTTTAACATGCACACAGTTGTAAAAAGTGGAATGATCAGATCTCTGCTAATTTGTAGGGGTTTTTTTCTGGCTGAAAATGGGCCTTTAAAGGAGGTGACGATACACAACAGTAACATTAATAAATGTACAGTAAATGTAATGAGTCTGTATTTGCATATTTGACAGAAATGTAGGCATTTTTCTGATATTTCACACCATTTGATGAAACAAAAAATGTCAGTTATGCCTGAGTAAATGAAATCCCAAATTACACAACTGGCTTTAAAAAATATATATTATATTAATTCTCAGTTCTAGTCACTTTGGCCCACTGGATAAAACTTTCTTTTAACTGGCAATTAAAATTCTTCTATACAGGAAAAACGCTGCTTTTGTTGAACGATGATTAAAGGAGAGGGTGCATTTGCAAAGCTATTTAGGCTTCAGTATCCTACTGTACTGTTTCCCACTGCTTTATGTAGTTGTGAATTATCTGTAAAATAAAAGCAGTTTGTTTTTGTTCTCAAGACCTAAAACAAAACTACGTGGAAAATGTGCAAGACTTTGGTGACTTTTACCCTCTCAGAGATGCTCCATTTTCTTAACATCAATGAAACCATCAGGAAAGCTGTTCTGAAGCAGACTGTACTTGGCACAAACTTCTTATAAAGCTCCTTGTAAAATAATGGAAACAGCAGGGAAGGATACTAAAGACCGACCAAAGAAAGTTCATAGTCTTCACATTAGAATATAATATGTTTATCTGAAGAACCTTGGACAGTGTGCTCTGGTCTGTCTGGGCCCTTCATGTTGACATATGCTGCTTACAGGACGTCCCTGATCTAACAGTCCTGTTTGCAGCCTGTCAGAGCCCATTATGTTTCCCCCTATGGCGGTCTGTCAAGCGTACACAAACGGCAGGAGCGCACGGCCATATCTAATTGGCAAAGCTGAGGCAAAACAATGGCTTAAACCACATTAGTCGAGTATATTAGTGAATATCATTCATCAGTGTTGATTAAGTTGGATAGAGCTGAACAACAGCCCACATCTCTGCCAGTGTTTGGCTGCTCACATGTTGTCGATTCACTGGGCTACAATAAGCACTTGTTGCATCTGCAAACTTACATGAAACCCAGTCTGAGAAGCAGCATTGCAGAGTTTTGAACTAATGCGGCTGAATGTAATAGTTGTTGAGTGCATCTGCAGCTGTAGCTCATTTCAGGACCACAGACAGCACTTTACAGCTCCAGGAAATGCTCCACACAGAAACAATAGGAAACATTTTATATGACCTTCTCTGATACGGTTTTCATTACACGGCTCTATAATACTCTATAATAATCCCAGAAAAGTCCTGAATAACCCCCACAGGGAGTCCTCAAAGTGATCCTCAGGTTATAAATCACCTGTATGTCCTAATCATAAAGGTTCAGAACAACTACTGATGCTTTTGTCATCTTTATTTTCCAACAGAGCTCGTCTCTGAAGTCCTTAATAAATTGTTGTCCACTTTGTATTAATGTCTTTCAACGTCAGTGTGTTTCTACTGACGCATTTTGTTTTTTGGAACATTTAAGTTGTAGAGTTTAAAAATACTCGTGTTAGAACAGCTGTGTGTGTTGAATACTTAACATCATCTTGCAGGTCGTTTTAGGGTCTTTGCGTGCGTTGCGAGTGCAGGAACCGGTCCTGTAGAACCTCTTCTAGTGCCATTGTGAGGAGAGAAAAAATGAAAAACCTCTGTCTAGGTCTTGACACTGATTCCTTGAACTCAGAGAGGGAAACCAACACCTCATTTCTACCACTGTGCTCATCAAGTGGTGATCTTCTCCTCTCTAACATCACCATCAACATTCACCATACAGGCTAACATGACAAACCTCCACTGTTCTGTTTCCCACATGCTCATAGAGCTGGAGTCAAGGCCAGTAACCACTATTTGTTGTTGTTTTAGTGCACTTAGAGTTTATGTCCAGGTCGATTCGGTCGGATGCAGAAAGGCCGAAAGCTTAAATTCAGTAAACATGGCGCCACCTCGCATCTGCAACGTAAAGTCCTCTTGGAGCATGGATTCTATAGATCGGTGCCGGTTTATTTCAGTGTAGTATAGTGCAGTGTCTGTGTGGTCACACAGAACTGGAGGCTGGACACCTGCACAGAGCCTTGTGTACATTCTTTGATGATGAAATTTACATCACTGGCCCTGATGGAGCCTCGTCTACTCA